GAGATCATATACTCTGTAACCATCATCGACTAAGGCACGACTAGGCTGCCTCTTGTCTGAAGAAGATGCTACCATTTCAGCAACCGTACAACTTCTGCAGTGAATGTGCTCTTTAACAATCGGTTGGCATGGTAAGCTCCTAAGGTGTTTTAGAAAAAGTTGTGTGCCGTCCGCGGATCCTGAATGTGTTGGTGTGTGGTGTGTTTAATCTCAGAAATGTCTCTCATTATTCTACAAAGGAGCAAAATTGGTTTATGCCACAACAAACATCCTGAGCATCCCTGTTTGCAGTTTGCAACCAGTGACCAGAAGCATATGTAGATATGTATTCCTCATGTGTCGACACTCTTGGAATTACAAAGAGCAGTAGTTCAGATCAGTCGAACCGAACGCGTACAGTGCTCTGCTCAAACAGAGCACTGAGTCACTTGTGCAACCTAGTGAAACCAGGAGAGATAACAGAGACCATGATGCAATGTTATCGCTCATGGCCTTGTCTTGCGTTCCACTTAGTGATTAGCTCCACGAGCGGACGCGCGAAGCAACGCGTGTGCACTTCACGGAGGGGGGGCCACTCGAAGAGTGGATCCACCCAGCTCTGTATTGTGCAAATCGGCTTAGCAACTGCACACAGCGAACCGACAGCGCTTGACCCCAAAGAGTCTCTACTTTGTTGCCAATTGAGTGTTGGTTCTTACTCATCGACATAGAATACGTGTTGGTAGAGCTGGACTCATTTGGATCATTGTTCGGCACTGTCACTGTGTGAGTATTTGAGCCACGAGACGATTGGACCTCTAGGCTTTCTATACTCACAGGTGCATGGCAATGTATCCAACTCGAGTTTATGCCCAAGGTAGACCGAGTGAACCCAAGAAGTGTGGTGGCATTTCAACTACCTCCCTGGACAGTGGGAAATTGGGGCTGACTATTGAAGACTGCCATCAAACGAGTGACGTCTGTTGCCTGGAGGTGTGAAATAACAAAAAAGCACAGTAGGAGGAATTCGCTGACTGGGGGCATGGAGCCTTTTACCAGCAGTTTTTACCTGTCTCTATGATTGCGGCATCTGATGCTCCATGGTTCCCAGAAGTGGGTCACCGACGTAATTAACCGAGCCTATATTGTTTTCAGGTTTGTGATGTGCTAACCGCAGTTTCTTGGCACCATTCAACTTATGCAATGCGCAACCAATAGAAGGTTCATTTTATATGGATAAATGTTTAAATGCGCATTTCTTACAGTGGTTGTGCAATGGTTCGGCTATAGAAAGCTCGCCTTGTGGAGAAGCGCATGATCGGATGATAGTGAGGTATTTCCTTAACCTGAACGTGAAGTCGAGCCGTATGTTTCGACTTACATGTGTTAAGACTCCTAGACTCGGCGACAGCACCTGCCTTTCACCGTTGCCCTAAGCAGCCACACTGCGTATGTGCAAACGCAGGGAGGTTGTAATAAACCAATCATGATTGGCGGCATCCGGTTTCGGATTTGCCCATCACTGTGGCCAGCCACAGGACGCCTGCGCCTACAGAGGAACCATGGGTGTTTTGCGCTGCACCACCCACAGCTCCATCCACACACATCATATCCAGTGTAAATCCAAAGGAATAAGACCGGGAGGCATGTGTATGGGAGCCACGTTTCCTTAATAGAGCCGGCCCACACTCCTTCAAGGCAAACACAAGCACGTTGTATTTGGGGAATCAATTGTACACAAGGCGGAGGCTGGACCGTAGTCCGCTCCACACTGACTGCATAGAACCACTCTTCGAGCTAGCACGACCACAAGGACCGTGCACCCTGTCCCCTCCAGCAACGACCAACTGTCTCCTGGAGACAGTATGAACGAGGTAATGGGCAGTAGACAGGTAGGCTCCTTGTCAACATGCAAATCAAGCGCAGCCACACCTGGGATGTCAAACAACAGCCAATCATTCGAAATGTCGATATCGAATAAAGTAAACGCATATGGCGACATAAATACTCGCTAAATGAGCATATAGAAGAAATTGGTTTTAAGTGAATCCGTGATAAGTACAAAATGTCCGAAGTTTTTTAAAAGATACCACGCGATACAATTACGTAAGTTTACCACAATTTGCGTGAGCGACGTGTGCAAGTTGGGAGATGATTATCAAGTACGCAGAACAAACCAACTAAAATGTAATGAATTTTATCCACATTAAAAAGACCTGGTTTAAGTGTAAGATGGTTTATCCCAACTGCGGTGAAGAAGCATTATGAATGTAACATCAGCCTCAGCATGGGTCACAATAAACCAAGCATTCACCGGGTGTAAAATGCAAACTCAAAGGGAATGTGTCCGGTGCTGATTTGGGTGGGGACGAACATCCTTTTATAGCTGACCAAAAGTGCATCTTTTGTGAGTAAGCGAAACGACAACCCATGGAGATGATTATGTCGAAAGCTGCAAGCAGAAGTATATCACAATGTACTGATATAATTGATTAACGGTGAACTCACGTTGATTTGATACCTGCGAGTCACCCACATAAAGTAGAGGCGGTACGTGCAGTTGAGCTGGACAAAATAGCTATCGGCCGGTAGCCAGTACTTTAAGTCCAACTCTGATAGCAATATTTGTACCCACATATATAAGCAGCGATTAGCAGTCTTAATTTTGGAATAGGAATCCGTTTTTTATAACCAAAATACAAGCCAGTAAAAACTGATCTGTGTACTATAAAAAACTTCCGAAAATTAAGAGTTTCTAGTCGGTTCCGACTTTAGTACTGCATATTGAATTAACAGTCTTTCTTGTCCATCACTAACGGCCACAACATTCGCTCGGACCAGTTCAATTTCATGTTCCATCAGGGTGAAACGAAAACGAAACTTTGGGTGTAATCAACTCGGTGGATCACTCCATAGACAGTGAAGTAATCCGCACCCAGGAATTATGGCAATTTCTTGAGTAACTAACAAAGTGAGCTCGTTCGGAGCCTAGTCTGATCAACCAATCACACAGCATTTTGCTATCCTAATATTGTCCCATTTTTCTTATGCACCCGACAGGAGCCTATAGTTGAGGTACCCACGTTTAAGGCTGTCTTCATCAGTACAAATCGTTTGCGTATATATATATATATATATATATATATATATATATATATATATATAGATGGCGGAGGGCGCACCTTATAACGAAGGCTAATTTTTTTGTGATCACCACCGTGGTATCCATGCTTATTTGTATACAATAGCCTTTGAAAGTAGCTGCTCTGATATGTCACCTATTCCTTATCATTATTTTCAGATTGCCGCATACCTGTAGCATTTACGAGTGTTGTATTCATATACCTATCTTGTGAGCATTTCGACAGACCACTGAAATCGCCTGCCGTTTAGTTTGCGCTCACACGTTACACACAGGTATACACATCTACACACACAATTCTAGACCAGAGACAATTGCTTCAATTCATTTGTCACATCGCTCCTGAAGAAAATGTTGGCTTGGTCACTTGAAAAAAACGAATGGGCGCTACCCCTATCTTCGTCTCTCCCTCACCCACTTTCGTCGCCCAAGTTTGTCCCGTCTGGCAGCCAGGTATTACCCTCAACGCGCAGGAAAACGTTTTGATGGCTTGAGCGGAGTAAGGTCTAATTATACGTTGTGAGCTCAGCTACTTCATCTGCGTCGCCCCCTCTGGTGTCGTAGCGGTCGCATCATGTCATTAGAAAGTTCGCTAGTTCGATCGACATTTTCCCTTCATCGACTGCTTCTCTTTGTCGTCGCACTAACGGATCTATGAAACTTGCAGTTATCCTAACTTCTATCCGCTTCGATGAGATATTCGCTTTCGAACAATCTCCACTAACATGACTACTGACCTTGCTTGTGTGTTGCGCTGTAACCGATGATGTGGTACTTATGAAAATGTGTGTTGCCTGCTTTCTCACAGGTTCCATACCTGATGTGGTAATCGATGCATTTAAATTTGCTTTATATGAAATAACTGATTACGATGCACGCTATACACGAAATAAACCACCTCCAATAGGGACGTAGGCTTAAGACTGGGAACATAACCGGAAATTGGTTTATCATGTAAACGCGGCGCGCGTCCTTCCGTTGTGTATAATTACTGCATCCCAGATTAATGTTACCAACATTCGTCGAAATGAATGGACAAGTTTACGACCGAATTCACACCGGGCTGTCTAGCAATCCGTGCTCAACTCGCGCGCAATGAGCAGCTTTCCGTGCTCGCAACAGTTCTCCTGTTACGTAAACCACATTCCCCAAAGAAAAGGAATATGTGCTGTCAGTGTCTAGGTGCTTCGTCTTATCCACTGTTTTCAGCGCTCAGTGATAGATACAACTGCAAGCATTGTGAAGCAGACGATCCGGATTAAATCACCATGACTTTACACGACTCTGAATTTAGGGTTAAAACGGTTTGCCTGGGTGGACGCATGCATTGGCGCTTCGATTGGTATTAATTCTTATTACGTCTCAGCTGTACGCCGTAACGGCCCTTCGCTGCAGCGCGACTACCACCAGTCGCGCGCGGGCTGAGTATACTGCGAGGAAGATCACCCCTAAGGGGATTCTAACCGGGGATCTTATGGTTACAAACCAGGCGCGTAGACCCCTAGGCCACCGGCCAAGGCTTCAATTAATATTGGTTTGGTACTCTGATTCGACTAAAGTAAAAGTATGCCTACTCAAATTTACTCCTTCCGCTGGTTGTCAAATCTTCTGATCAATCCGATAGTTGGCCGCATCTACCAGATGCGGCTATTCCAACGAATTTGATTCAGTTTGTTTTGTCTTGTCTGAATAGCTGGCTGGTTAGCCTATCTATGCTATCCACACCATTGGTGGGTCGTCGTAGCTGTGGTCAGCACACACATCCAGGGCAAACTGCACCAAGGAGAGCAACCTAGAGTAAAAACTTTATTGAACGGGATAAGCAAGCATAATCCCATACAAAACTACTAAGAAAACCACGTGTTTCCAAACCATACACCTGGTAAGAATCTTCACATTGGAAAGGAGACGGCTGCGGATGTAATTACTTTCTTCTCATAAGCATGAAACGCAAAATCACGATGGCTCGTTTTACAAACTGCTGCTCACTAGAACAGCTTTATTCACTGCAAGAGGATGTAAAAATGACGTAGTTACCACTGACTGTCCAGTTCGTGTGTCAATGTTTTCATAAGAAAAGTACTATACACTCACTCATGCACTGCTTTGTACACCATCTAATTGTAAATGTATCTGGCGCAAAATGCTGTAGAATCAGTGGAATGATGCAAACTGCCTAGTCATCCGGGGACACTTACTCTAAGGTTTCGTGACGGACCACGGTGATTGACTAGTGTTCAAGGGAAAAACCGTGGTCTGATTGAGGTCACGATAGATTCTGTTTGGATTGCCTCGAGTGACTGGAAAATCCTCTGGTTCGTGTTCGTCTGACCTGTCGATCGACATGGAGTCTGCTGGAATTACTTCATCCAGGTTTGGAGAATCCTGGGGTTGTTCCTGATCCTCTGTATTCGACAGTGGCGAATGAATTGCGTCCATGTGACCCTCCTGTCCATATCCTTCGCCTACGCTACGCTCAGCTCCCTCGCTACCTTCACAATGTGTGCGGATGTGTTTGTTTAGATGGTCACTTCTAAGAAATCTCTTGTGACATACGGCACATATAAAACGTTTCTCTCCGGTATGCGTTCGCATATGCCGCTGTAGCTCATCTGACCGAGTGAAGCGTTTCCCGCATAACAACCAGTTGCAGACAAAAGGTCGTTCTCCAGTGTGCCATCGCAGATGAGCTTTTAAATGACTAGTCTTATTGTAAACTTTACCGCAGCCGGGAACATGGCAACTGTGTAAGTTCTTCCTCCTCAGCTCAGCAGCCACTGCAGGCGCTGTGAGGTTCATGCGGTCCACTTCTTGACAATTTGGACAGTCGCAAGTAGTGCGGCCAGCGTACCTTCTGGAGCTCCCTCCATGAGTAGATGATGTAGCCTTTGGTTGAACGATGGGATTAGCGTGTTCTGCCTTAGTGAAGATTTGAGGGCACTGGTTTCCCTGTCTCATTGCATACGCTGAAAAATCCTCTCCGTGTTCCACCGTTTGGGTTGCTCTGTAAGGAGATACCTGTTGGTTTGTGGTGATAGCCTCACCAGCGGATAGAAGAGACTGGTAAAATTGAGCGTAACCAGGTGAATAAAACTGCGCTACCTGGTCGGGATATTGAGCCACTGCGGCTGCCATTAGAAAATTTTTGTACTGGTCGTCCAACCACCACCGAGGACCTTCATTATTCCAAGCTTCTTGACTCGCGTTAAAACAAGGTGAAACCACACGCGGCTCCTGCTTACAAAAGGTCTCGGGTTGGGTGTATGCTTTCTCAGAGTGACCGTAGTTGGAGGTGCCATGCTGGAACTGTATTTGCTCATAGCGGTTCACCGGTTGCAGTTCCTCTGACGAACGGATTGGCTCAGAGAATGGCATCTGGCTAGGTCTGATCGATGAGCCTGTCTCCTCTTGAAGATGCATATACGCAGTCGAGCCCGACACTGCGGGATGTGAATGGGCATTGGTCCTGCAGGACACCTGACCAAGAGTATCGCCAGATTTTATGAGAGATAAGTGGTCATTTTCATGCGACAAGTTACGTAGGGTGTGCAACTGTTCCACGAAGTGCACGTTCGTCGGCAACCGGCCGGCGAATTCTGCGTGCACATGACTACTTTGTGTGTTCCACGGGGATGCATCGCCAACGTTATGGTAACGCGAATCGCATGATGTGCGATGTTGATTAGAATCCACTTGTTGTCCCCCAAGCGGATTGGTAAACTCAAAGAACAGCCTATGAGAGTTCACATTGTGGTACAACTGGGACGAGGGTGGCTCCTCTGCTTCCTGTTGTTGTGCTTGTTGCTGCTGTTGGTGTGATACCTGGCATGTACTGGACCCAAGGGACAAGATATTTGAGTTGCCACTTCCAAGCCTATTCGAATTTCCGTTGATCATCGAGTAGAATGCATTGTTCTGGTACGGAGAGATGGGTGAATAATCCACTTGGGATTCACTTACCCCAGGCTTTTCAGCCATAGTGGGTATGCTGGTGATCTCAGCGGGCGAGCAGGAACGTGCCAGCAGTGAATGGATATCCAGCGATGTTGACGACGTTCCATTGGATGAACTCGTAGCAGTCCTTGTTACAAACCCGGCTGGACCATTTGTATTGTCTGTTGCAAAAGAAAGAGGTTCCGAAGCAACGACCTGGGGCGCTGCGCGGTGTGTTGTGTGCAAATGTTGCGGCGACTCCACGCTTCTTCCCTGTCTGCAAGAAATTGTCGCTGGTGCCGTTGACACGCATGATATATAGGGACGATCGGTCACTGTACCCACCTTTTGACATTGGAGCGCGAGCATTGAGAGAGGCGAACTGGACTGGTCACTGGGAAAGTGTTGTGAACAGGTTGCTTCCTAAATAGTAAGACGTAAAAGAGTAGAATGTAAATCCCATGTGACGATGGGCGAAGAAGCATACTATGCCTTCAAACGAACAATTAAACCGGAGGCCTATCGATTTACTAGCTCCATCATCAGTGCGTTTGCATAGACGAGAGGTCAGTCAACGGCTCACTAAAAAATTAGTAGTTTGGGGTTGCAGTCTGGATTGCAGGGTTAAACTGGAGGATTGTTTACCTCTGGCTCATCTGCCAGTTCAAATCAAAATGGATGAAGTTGATGGGGAAAAGGTTTATCCACATCTCTGTTCAAACACTTAAACTTTACCTAAGTAGATGCATTGCTGTTTCGTCTATTAATGTGCGGAACTGTTCACCTGTAGACAAGAGTTGAGGCATCCGTGGAATTTCACGGGTTTCACGGGTTTGCGCAGAACGAGTAAGCGTAGCTTTTCGGTGGTTCTGCCTCGGGATCTTACGGCAAGGTCCTGATCTGAATTTGACTGCATCAAGGCGGGTGTGCGCGATATGGTAATCTGGATAGTCTTACAGACTACCTCTGAATGTCTTTCGGACTAGAGGTTTTAGGCGCTATGCTACCGTGCCGACACACGAATAACGTTAACACGTGGATTCTACTCTCCATACTGACAATTGCAAGTGGTGCACAAGTCTACCCCAACTGTTACCCTGCTGTCAGGTTGTTAATGGAAAATTTTAGTTAGCGGAATGGCGGCAGAAGCAAAATAGTGATATGAAATGCTATAATGGCAAAGGATTTATTCCAGTCGACAGGACCTGTGTAGCATTGTCATCTTCATCATCGCGGTCTCATACATGTTTGGTATTGCTGGTGATTTGTCACATAACCGTAAGCAAACAAACGAACACAGTTGAAGGTGCAAGATCGATCAGTGTTGGTAAGCTCAAGATGAGGGGCGATGGTTTACTAACGTATCATTACAACCGATGGGTGCTGTCAGAGGGTAAGTCATAGCCGATGAGACGAATTCCATTGGTTTTTGCTGTATTGTTACCAAACGAACTCTGAAACAAATGAAGTCAGACAGATCTGCACCTGGTTGCCCGCTGAGTACGTCACCTCGATTAGTGTTCATGCGTTTGCAAGCGAACTAACAGGTTCCCAGGACATAGCAAAAGGGAGCAGTAGAGGCAGTGCGACTACCAACCTATATCAGATTCAGCTTATTCATCATGGTCACTCTCAATCAATAGGCTTAGGCTAGTCCGGAAAAACATCAGACGCCCTCGCTACAACTTTCTGGGTATTGTCAATAGTGCGCCTTCCAGCATATCCCTGCCGGCTTTTGCCCCCATGACTTCTGGATGTCAGCAACTAGTGCCAGTTCACCATAGGAGACAGCGGCGGACTTGCGTGATTTACAGTTGACTATGATATAACCCGGCTCATCTCAGATTGTACCTAGTTATCAAACTCATCAGGGTAATACATGGTATTAAGGGCGGCGGAGCGAAAGTCAAGAAAATAAGGAAATGGATGCAAAGAAAACTGGGGAAAATCATTCAGTCCGTAGGGTAAAAACATTGAAAGTGTAAACGCGTCGGTGATGCTTCCAGTTTGTCATCTGATATGATTCTCCTCTGATGGTATCCAATCCCTGATCAAATCTCTAGCTGCTTATTGTTGAAGCGTCACTAGCCAGTAGCAGTGAAGGTTCAGCTAACCGAACACACCAATAAAAACCCATGGCTAGGCACGTGGCCTACAAGGACTTAAAGAACATGCCAGCTTGCATCCTCCTCTTCATCATCATCTCGTCAACAACATACCGTGACAAACAGCTGGCTATCGTGCAAAGATAAGGCGACATCGGCGAGACAGCTTCCTTGCGGCTTGCACTGCCAAGCGACATAATCAGCCATTACCCCGCAGATAACTCAACATCAGACACTCGATAAACAGGCAGTCCGACTAGGAGAAGGCAGCAGACGCGCCCCTGGTGTCGACTGCGAGCCACGTCCTGTAGATTCTTGAGTCAAGCACAAGGCGAGTCATGTAGACTCCAGCGCGGAAAACGAGACGAACCGATGGCACCCAGTTTGACCGTCATTGACTTCATTTCTCGCTTCCAAGTCAACTTCTGTTCACCTCGAGGCTTGCGCTACCCTACAGCCGGCCGACTAAACGAGACTCTCCTAGGTAATAGGCAGTGTCCGAGGCTTCTCTACGCTACATTACATGCTACACACTACTCAAAACACCACTGCTAATGCCACCTAAATTGGTGACCAAATCTTTACAACCAAGTTGCCAAGCTCAGCGAACAGTTCGACCGGCGTTTGTGGTACCTACCCAAGTCAACATAACTTAATTAGTAGTATCTGTTGTTCCAATGAACTGGCCTGGTTATCACTTCCTAGTCCTAGCTGATGCACACAGTCTTTGCGGACATGTGGTGCCATCCGACACCACAACACTTCGCAGTCAACGAGGATTGAAATCTTGTGGGCACCACAGTCCCTCAGATCGGATGAGTCATGTCTCATACCAATAAAGTAGGAAGCCTCCACTGTGATCTTGTAAACACAGGCTTGTAGACGGAGGGAAAGCACTTTCTGACGCCACAAATGCAACAGATTCAAAAGGCAGTTCTAGCTTTTGCAATGCTTGAACTGTCTTCCGTTGCTATGTGTCCATCGTTCCTGATACAACTTTCAAGGTGAGTGCATTGATCAACTACCTCACGTTCCGCGCTATCAGGGATCAAGTGGCTTCAACTGGCTAGTGGTCCTACAGCAAGGCTTTGTACTTTGTAGGTGGAAAGTGCATACCAAATAATGCAGCCACTCTAGACAGGCTATTCCGGGTTGATTGTGCCTCCGCAACGTAATCGAAAACCAAGACGATATCATCCACATAATCAAGATCAACTAGCCTTACACGAAACAGCACCTGAAAGCCTGCATCGGGACACCGTAAGGGAACACTCCATGATGTAGTTCACCACGAAAATGAGTAAAATTGGGGAAATAGACAACCCTGATGAAAGTCATTTATTGTCGGAAAGATATCTGACAGGTCACCGTAGACCCTGACGCGACCTGTAGAGTTTGAACATAAAGCAAGTAAGATGTTCACATATTTTAATGGAACACCTTTCCGAGCAAGTATTCCATACAGAAGGCATCGATCGAGTGAATCGAATGTACTCTTGAAATGGGGGAACACAGCTGTTGTCGGTCTGCGGTATGCGTGACTCAGAGTGAACATATGGCCTATGTAGCCCATCCTGAGCGGAAACCTACCTGCTCTTCCCTAATCCGGGATTCCCAGTCCGCAATGAGGCGACGAACGATAATTGAGACCAGTAATATTATCACAACTGATGTTGGGATAATATCCTTGTGGTTAGCACGGTCGGTGCGACTGCCCTACTTGTATGTTGTCATTTTCATAGATTCACTCCAGTTACTCGGGATGATCTCTTCTTTCCATACCTATTCAAACAGGGAGGTCAATGTTTTGCTGAGGGAGGAAACCGAGCCCACGGTAAGAAAACGATTGAGGGCTATAATCGCGTTTCTGATCTCGGCCTCCGAAAGAGCCTCTAAGCTAACCGTCCATGGCTGGTCAAGCATCACCTGAGTAGCAAAGGTCCGGAAGCAGGGGACCAACCGAACTGATCTTGAAAGTGTTCCACCCAACAAGCCATACGGCGCTCGTTGTTGTGGATAAGTGTACCCGCGCTGTCGCTGATTGTCTCACTGACGCCTGGTTTCCTGGGACCGGTGGTGTGGATCAGATGGAATAGCTTGCAATAATTGCCTACTGATCCTGCCTCCTCCATTTCTTGAACACAACTGGTCTACCAAGCTTCTTTGTCAGCACATAAACTCTGTTTTATTTCCACCTACCAGTCCGTCTGATCACTTCCTGCTCAGGTCCAGCAGGGAAGTTCCTTCTGCATTTCAACAGGTCTACCAACCTTTCGGATATCCACTGACTGGTGCAGTGACGATTGATAGTGCCACAAGCAGATGCTCGTACGTCGTGCACGGTGGCCTTGATCCTATTCCATTGAAGCTCGGTGTCATTCGGACATGACAGCGAAAGCTGGGTACGCAGTGTATCCTGGTAGGCTTGCCTGACGGTGGGGTGACATTACTTCTCAGCTTCCAATCGAGCGAGACACTTGGTGCGCCTCCTGGTAAAGTTCATTGAAAAACGAAAGCATACCAATGCATGATCCGAATTGATGCAACTACTCCAGAACGAGCGGCAATCTAGAATTGAACCACGCCACCTGTAACTTATGCTAATACGATCAATTTGGGTCCATTGCTGGCCAGCTACAGGAGGACGCCAAGTGGCACTTCGGCACCCACTGTGCCTATATGCAGTGTTACTAAGTAACAACGTAGACGCTCGACATTGTCTGTTCGTTCTGAGTTAAGCCCATACTTACCACTCGGCTGAGGTTCTGAAGAGCTTAGGTGACCTACTTGTGCATTCATATTCCCTGCAAATACTATGAGATCCGAACTGCTAGCACTGCGTAGTAGCGGGTTCAATTCGTGGTAGAATGCATCTTTGGAAGCATCAGAACTGCAGTCAGTCGGAGCATCAGCGGAAACCACAAACAAACAGCTTCTAGTATCACCTCATAAATCAACGTTAGTTGTTGTCGTCAAACGGACTTCACACAAACGGCTATTCAAGGGAATCCAATCAAATAAGGATGACTCAATCTTGGAGCTGAGTACGATACCTACTTCAACTTGACCAGAGGCTGCCGCATCAGCATCTCCGGATGCGTGCAGCCGATAGCAAGAGGACAAGCCGGGTGCAGTTAATTCAACAACCCCATGAGGGTCATTGATCCTTGTTTCGGATACGTAACACACGTCAATACCCAGTGTGTCCAAGGTGCGTGGAAGTGCAGCATGCTTACCTATTTGTCTTAGAGTGCGAATGTTGAACGCCACAAGGGAAACGCGATAGCGTAGCCGATATGCATCCGATGGGTGTTGTCG